AACTACGTTCACTAGGCATACGAGAAACTTACATTATCCATTAGGCATAAGTGAAACCAAAGTATTCTAATGTTCATATGTCTTAGCAGCTCAACTTCACACTGAATTGCTAAGATCTAGGGCAGCCAAAATATTTGAATAGCGTTATACACTAGTCTTACTAATATCATAATTGCGAAAAGTTTGATGCATGGATCCTAATCGGCTGTACAGGTTTCTATGAAATTTGGCATAGATGTAGAGGATAGTCTAGAAGAACAATTAGGCTACTTGCACTGTTTTTAATTCCGCGCAAACGGTGTCGTGGGCGAAAACTAGCTAACTCATAAATCCCATAACAAAGTGATAAAGTTCCTCGCACTGTACCTATCTTTCTTCTTGCCTATCATTGTCTATGCCTACGTACATCTATGCTAATATTATAAAGGAAATATTTGTATTTTTGTATATTGAAATAACTCAAAAACTAATGGACCGATTTTATAAATTCCTACACCATTAGACAGGTAATTTATCTGTGAGTAACTAGATTTTATATTTTTTAATTACACGCAGACGAAATCGCGAGCAACAGCTAGTTTTCTTTATTTTCTTGAACCGCGATAGCGCCATTCAGTACCGCATAAGTTTGTCGCATAATAGGTATGTGTTCGTGACTGTACCTTATAGAGAACTGCAATCATAGAACTGAGCACGATATGTTTGCATTCGTCTCGGCGCTAACAAAAGCCCAGCTAAATGCATACCGGTACAATTGTACAGGTCGGTGTTCGAACTAAATACAGTAACTTACTCTGAACTCGACAGTACAACCCGTTAGAATCTCAAACTACTAGAACTAGGCGACTACTAGCATTTATTCTTACTCAATACTAGGTTGATTACCTAATGTTAGTATTTCAGTTAAACCTTCACTTTACACACACACATTAAGGAATTATACAAAAAGGAATGATTTTGTATTTAACAAATAAACTTAAAAACTATTGGTCCGATTTTTGTCATTCTTTCAATGTTAAAAAGCTACATTATCAGCGAGTAACATAGGCTAGATTTATTAGATTTTATAATTCCACGCGGTCGGATCAAGCAAAAAATAGTTATCTTATAATGTGACTAGTTGTTGCTCGCCCGAGTGAAATTAAAATAGTAATTAAAAATGTTACTCAGAGATAACGTAGCTTTTTATTGGTAAAAGATTTTTTGAAATCGCCTCAGTTGTTTTTGAGTTATTCCAATACATACAAAAACGCAAATCTTCGCTCTTTATATTGGTACAGATAAAGTGTCATTATATCTTCTGTGTAACGTGTATATTTTAAATCAATGTTTGAATATCTCAAAGCTAAAACTGCACTATGATTTATTACTTCATTCTAAGTATTGTACGCCAAAGTGCGTCGTTTTATTTCTTGGCGCATCAACAAGACACTATCATACGTATACGAAAACGTATCACTTCAATATACAAGAAATCTAATTCTCTCGCTATTTCCATAAATATAGAAAAAATATAAATGTTTACCGAGACAGCAACGTTTGGGTAACGCAATATCTTTAGGCAACGTTATCTCGTATGGAATTTTCTGGAATATCCTCAAGACATTTACCAAAAATTATTCCTTACAAGATATGTATACAGTATTGACGAACATACAAATGAGTTAATAAAAACAAAACACGGAGATTAAAAAAAGAAAAAATTCTCACGGCTGTATTATGGTGTACTAAATATTTTGATTAAATGTTTAAAAACAAATTTATTACAAGAAACGAAATTAGATAAAAAACAATTTAATAATACCGTTAGTACCTAATAATGAAAGCATTAACCATTTTTTTTACTTTGTTTTCTATTTCTATTCATTAAACAACATTCCACTCATACTTCATTAAGGACCTGTCCCACAATTCTTGTAAATTGTCAGATTACAATCCAACGTATAAAATACTAGCTGTTGCTCGCGACTTCGTCCGCGTGCCATTTAAAAATAATGTAAAACGTAGCCTATGTTATTTAAAGATAAATTACCTTTCTAATGGTGAAAGAATTATTGAAATCGGTCCAGTAGTTTTTGAGTTATTTCAATACATACAAAAATACAAATCATTCCTGTTTATAACATTAGTATAGATGTTATGTAAGTATCGGACTTTGGTACTCTATTTAACAGTGACGTTACTTTAAGCTATCTGAGCCTCTATCAGCCAGTGGTAGGACAGGCCCCCAAGACCATATCCAAGTAAACTTTGTTATACTTGACATCGTTATCAGCTGATCCCACGGAGGGACAGCCTGCCTTAGGGGTGACAAAATAAACCGAGCTGGCCTATTGCGTGTTAAATTCATACAAACCTTGGATCTTCACCATAAGAGTTTCGGGTTTTGTTAACATAAACAAATTGGTATGACGGGGTTTGAACCTGGACCGTAGACTATAGTTAGGAGAGGTGCTTGACAACTACAGGCGGGGATCACGGACGTAAGCAATAGCGTGCCCGTGGCCCCGACCTACTGCGTTGGAGGAACCGAGGGGTTTAGTGGGTATGCCCCATTATGGGGAGAGTCCCACATAACTACCGCGCTCCCTTGGGCGCGGAGTATGCGTAAGGCATTGCCCTCGGGCAAAAAAAAAAGATGCTTGACAACTGTGCCACTGACGTTCTAATCTCATGACAGGACGTTCAAATGTTAGGTGAACACCAAAAAAATACCACGATATCTTTCTCAGTAATGTTATTATTTAAGTTAAGTAAGTAACATGATCGTGTTTACTTTGCGCCGCTTTCTGCGAATTCTTTCTCACGGATTGTCGCATGCCGGTAAAATTAGGGCGACAATAAAATGTCAATTAGCAGTTATATTGTATTTGCCTTATTTTTATATTAGCCGTGGGTAAATATCAATACTACATGATAATAAAATAATATTACTTACGACTTTCTGAAATTAATACTGACTAAACTATCGCACGATTGTCGATTGTTTCGAAGCCTGTCATCTGTTTAGTTACACAATTATAAATCGAGTAGTGTGCGCATCTCATAAGAATCAAAGCAAGATTAAACGATTGTGCGATAAAACTAAACAGTTTAAGGTGTGCGCGCGCTCTAAAACTTGTCTTTGTATATTAACTAAATTGTCTTTAAATATTTGTTAAAATATTTATTTATTTAAACCGGAAAGTGTTGAGATTGAATGTGGATGGCTACAAAGGAAGAGGAAGACCGACGAAAGTATGGATGGATTGTGTGAAAGAAGATATGCTTAAGAAAGGAGTGGATTCAGATATGACGGCTGATAGAGATGTATGGAAGAGCAGCACATACTGTGCCGACCCTCCGTAAGGGATAAGGGCAAGTGGATGATGATGATGATCTTTAAATATTTGTTAGAGTTATATTTATTATTACAAGTGATTCATACAGTATAATGTCACTAATATTATAAATGCGAAAGTTTAGATGGATGGATGTTTGTTAGAGTTTGTAGCCTAAACAGCTTAACGGATCTCGGTGAAATTTGGCTTAAACGTAGAGAATAGTCCGGAAGAACACATAGGCTACTCACTTTTGTTTTTTTTATTTACACACGGACGGAGTCGCGGATAAAAGCTAGTCAATAATATTTGTTACTTGCTAACATCTTCGTGCATTTTAACTCATTTATATCGAGATATGGTAGTTTTATGCAAATATATCGATGTAAAACTAACGGTGAGTTTGTTCGCACTATGCATTACAGCTATACCACGCTCCGCGGACTTTTGATTTGAACTTATTTGAATTTTATTATTTTATTAACTCGAATGCAATTCGCTTAATTAATCGAACACAATTGTGAAGTCAGTCACACACTTAAATGACCTACTCTATAAAAAAACGACTAATTAAACACAATTAGAAAGCGACAAAAATCATCCCCCTGATAATAAGGTAAAATTTAGTTAACTAGCTGTTCCCGTGTGGCCTCATCCACATGAAATTGTGAAAATTTTATTTTATTGTTTACATTTGTCAATAATCAATTGCAAATGTCAAAATGACATGACATGACAATCCTTGGAAATCTTGCTTTCTTAATGTTGGCAGCAACTTATGGTCTCTTTCCCACAATAGGGTTTTTATCCAAAATATTTACCTTCCTTAGTTTAAAAACTTGAAAATTTATAGCCTAAAGCGCGACGTAAGTGTAGGGCTTTTTATTAAAAAAAGAGTTATTCGAAAATATGAAAGTATCCGTAAACCCATTTGCGGGTTTGTCACATGTGTTACATGTGAATATCAAATAATTTGTAAATATGTGACTTTCTCGATATCAAAGGCAATAAATAAACATTAACAGTAAGTTTCATTAACAGCCGATAGAAGTTATTAAACATTTTTTGCGCTCGTCGCGAGATCGACAACAAAATCGATATCGCATTTAATGTCTAGGAATATTCAAGTGAAGCATAATCGATTTATGCACGCAATTTTTATTCGTATAATGTTGATAGCTATGACTAAAAAGTTGTACTAGATTATAAAAAAAATAGTACAAAAAGAAAAGTCTAACCATATCTGTCCAGTTCATGAAAACCTTGTTTTTTTATGAAGTAAGAGAGAAATAGAAATATGTTTTGTACTAGTTTAAATTGTAGGAACTCTAAGTTAAAAGATTTGTGTATTTCAAGCAGAGTTGGGTTTCTTAATCGCTTCCAATCTTCCTAAATTGCCTTTTTTATCAACATAATTAATTTGCACTTGGAATAAGGAAAAAGGGCAATAAACCGCCCGTTCTAGTGTTGATGTAGATAAATTTATCCAAGCCTCGAAAGGCTGTTTTGTTTTTAAATTTATTGCGAAACAAGATTACAATTCAACAAGGTTTTATTTAATTAAGTTGATTTATGTTTTGAACTTTATTGGCTTAATGTACATGAAATTATACAAAACGTACTTATAAAATTCCTTATTATCTATGCTCTGTCTAAAAAAGCTCTAATTTCCTATTTCAGAATCAGACGTCCATCGTTCGCCGACGCCCCAATCAAAATGACAAAGTAATTCTAAATTCAAACGTGCCGGAAACATGGGGAGCGGGCAGAGCAGCGCCACCAGCCGGAAATGGTCGGGAAAAAGGGAACCTCCGCCGCAAGCGGAATCTTCGAGAATCTTATTCCTGCTTTATTTGATTCATAGAACTTGGAACATTGTCGTCGAACACGTTGATTCTAAAAGTTCAAGGCAAGTGCTTTAAATAACAAATATAAAAGTTATGTAACATTTAACTCCTGTGTATTTTCTTCTTATTTTACACGCTTTAATTTAATCAGTTACTAAAATGTTTCCTTTTAAAAAATAATAGCAAAGTTTACATTACAACAATTGCTTATTACATTACAGATGGCGCGGCTCACATACGGTGCCGAGTTCGGGCGAAGGTCTTGGTCACAGGTTCGACTCCGTCAGCATCGAGGAGTCGGACCCTGGATCCTGTTACTCCACATGTAGCTGTAGTTATTGCCGGCTGCGAGAATGTGCACAGGATTGCGTAAGGTTAGTTAGTAACTGAGTATATGCATCCCAGCTTTTGACATTTATTTCTCATTAAAATCAATTTACTAAATTACATTTTGTAATCTCATTTTGTTGATAGCTAAATTGATATTTAGTTAGATGCCCTTATGTTGTACTTAAATGTGTTCCTATGTAGTTATGGTAAAGTATTTAGTCGTTACTTTATTCTTTCAGGTAAGCAAACCCGTAGAAGTCAAGTATCGGGATGAAGCAAATATTCGCAAACAACGAAGATCTTTCAGAGTCACTAAGACTTAAATGATCCACTCAAATTATTTAAAAAAGATCGTTAAACACAATCTATTATAAGATTTATAAATACTTCATCGTTTAATGCTTTAACCTAATTTTTCTATACTATTATAATAAAGCGTACACACACTTCTTTGTTGCCTAAGATGTCAGCAATTACAGTATAATTTTGAATTATTCCTTTCTTAATAAAAAGCCCTGCACTTACGTCACGCTTTTGGCCATATATTTTCATGCCATTAAACTTAGGGGGGCAATGACTTTGGATAAAAACCCTAAAGTAGCAAAGTGACCATAAGTTGCTGCCAACATCAAGGAATCAGGGTTGGCATCATGTCATGTCATTTTGACATTTGTAATTGATAGTTTGACAAATATAAACAATAAAATAAAATTTTCATTATTTTATGCGCATGAAGTCGCTTGGGAACAGCTAGTCATTTATAAAAGCCTTCGTTGAATGTGCATCGCCAGCCTAGATATCCAGTTACCTTGATTTGCCAAAGAAATTCCGGACCTAATTCAAATTTCAACATCTATTTCTTCCCTAACTCGAAAAGAGCAACTTTTACCACAGTGTATAACATTTAATATACTGTTTAAATATATTTTTGGGGTTTAAAATTAAAGTTACATTATAATAAAGGTGTAAATAATTATATAAAACTAGCTGGTTCCATGCGACTTCATCCGCATGAAATTATAAAAAAAACCTTTTTATTGTTTACATGTGTCAAATCATCAATTGCAAATGTCAAAATGACTTGACGATGTCAAACCATGGCAACCTTGCTTCCTTGATGTTGGCAGCAACTTATGGTCTCTTTCCCACATTAGGGTTTTTTTCCAAAATATTTACCCCTAAGTTTAACGACGTGAAAATATATAACCTAAAGCGTGAAGTGAGTGTAGGGCTTTTTATTAAAAAAAAAGAGTTATTCGAAAATGTGTTGTATTTGCTGAGATCTTAGGCAACAAAGAAGTGTGTGTTTACCCTTTATTATAATAGTATAGATAGTATCTCAACATTGTTAAGTAAATACAAAAACTATTATTAAAATCCTAAAACCTAAATTCAACAATCATTCATTTAATTATTTGCTTTGTCAAAAAAATTTCGTACCCATTTTTTAAATGTTTCTTCTGTATTTCACTGCACTGTGGTACTGCAGTATCACCATTTGAACGCTAAGCACATTCAGATGCGCCAACAGCTTACACCTGCAGTCTTCTAATTGATTAATGCATACTTCAGTTAGTGCGAAATACAACCAAATGTAAAACCACAAAGGTAACTTCTCGAAACTTTTTAAATTTAGACGAAACTTGTTAATAAGTGAAATGTTTTTCTTCTCAAAGATATTTTACTGTATTTTTAATCGATTTTTCATAGAAAAGTTAAGACTATCCTTAGTTAAGTATTTGTTATAAAAAAACCTACGAAATCTGTTATAATCTGTTTACAAATGGAAAGCTTTTAGTTTATATTTTAACCTATACTATTATAATAAAGCGTAAACACACATTTCTTTGTTGCCTAAGATGTCAGCAATTACAGCATATTTTTGAATAATACTATTATTAATAAAAAGCCCTACACTTACGTCACGCTTTAGGCTATATATTTTCACGCAATTAAACTTAGGGGGTAAATATTTTGGATAAAAAGCCTAATGTGGGAAAAAGACCATAAGTTGCTGGCAACATCAAGGAAGGAAGATTGCCAAGGTTTGTCATGTCATGTCATTTTGACATTTGCTATTGATATTATAATTTGACAAAGGTAAACAATAAAATATTTTTTTAATATTTTCATGCGGATGAAGCCGCATAGGGACAGCTAGAAATATGAGTTTCCCACTGTTGAATAAACTGTTTGGGGACAGTTGACTAAGACAAAAAACTGTCTTTACTACTAAGCAGCCTTACGAAAAGGATTTCGTTTAACTTAAGTAGATATACATAAGTGACCAACGACTTATCTAAGTTAACGACGATTTTCCTTAACGACTTTGGTACTTAAGTTTAACAGAGTTTAGAGGTAACAGCAAATAATTTATAGACCCGATTAATATCATGTAGGGTCACCGCTTTGTTATCTTGACACTATAATCAATGGATTATTCCCAACCGTCATCCCACTCTGTCCCCACGCGGGGACAGATGGGAGTAAAAAAATCATCCGACCCACCTTTTGCGCTTAGGGACGCTTGGAACTTAATTTATTTTATAACGATTTTATGTCACCTTATTGGTGATAGTGGGACTAAAAGGTAGGACTGATCAAACTTTTTAGTCTCACGTGTGGACAGAGCTGGGTGACGGTTGGGAATAATCCTAATCGATTAAGATTGTAAAGTTAACCTTGGATGACCTTGAAACTAAAAGACTAGACAATTCTTTAACATCAAAACATATGACATAAAATATTTAAATCGTGAAATAGTGTTGTCAGATTGAAGTAAGATTTTTTTTCTTCAGGAAGCTTTTATTTGTTTAAGTTCGGATTGTAATTATTTTTATAAATATGTATATATATACATATATGGAAAATGTGTGAAAGAGGATATGCTTAAAAAAGGAGTGGATTCAGATATGACGTGTGATAGAGATGTATGGAAGAGCAGCACATACTGTGCCGACCCTCCGTAAGGGATAAGGGCAAGTGGATGATGATGTAATTATTTTTATAAAAGTTAAAGTAGTTGTTATATACGTAGCTATGTTTCACAAGCTTTAATTGCACTCCGTATTTACAATCGAAGTGTAGAATTTGCTCAAGATTCAAGTATTTCTAGAGGTCAGGATTAAAAACCCATCCTCCATTGAAGTGCTGTGTATTCTTTTATTCTACACCCTCTTGTCCGTTTGTAGGATTTAACGAACCATTATTTAAAGGCTTACAAAGGCTCGTAAAGGCGTCGGAGGCATTACTCTCGGAACGCTATCGGCATCTGAAGCGGTTCTTTTCGATACGAGGGCTTGCCCTTAATCAGGGATACGTCGAACACAAAATACTAGATGTTTTGTATGGCTTGGAATACTTTATTTACAAACTAGCTATTCCCGTATTTCATCCGCATAAAATTATGAAAATTTTATTTTATTGTTTACATGTGTCAAATGTCAAAATGACTTAAAGATGACAAACCATGGCAACCTTGCTTTCTTGATGTTGGCAGCAACTTATGGTGTCTTTCCTACATTAGGGTTTCATCCAAAATATTTACCCCCTAAGTTTAATGGTGTGAAAATATATAGCCTAAAGCGTGACGTAAGCGTAGGGCTTTTTATTAAAAAAAGAGTTATTCGAAAATGTGTTGTATTTGCTGCGATCTTAGGCAACAAAGAAGTGTGTGTTTACGCTTTATTATATTCTCGATTTTAGTTGTGCCAGTTGTAGTTAAATTGGCTGCGAAGCAATCGAGAATCGCACAATAGATGTGGGATAGTTTAGTCAAGTTTGAGCGAAAATTTAGAGGGATGTTTTTTTAAGATACCTCTAGAACGGATCATCTGATCTCGATTAAATTTAGTACAGATGTAGAACATAGTCTGCAAGAACATATAGTTACGAACACATATACTAACTTTTATTTTTAAATCCCACGCGGATGGAATCGTGGATGAAAGGTAGTGTACCAATGTCAATTTATAGTCAAAGCTTACGCCCGCGACACCGTCCGCGTAGTAATAAAAAAAAACCAAGTAGCCTATGTGTTCTTCCAGACTGTCCTCTACATCTATGCCAAATTTCATTGTGTTCCGTTCAGCAGTTTAGGCTACAAACTCTAACAAACAAACACCCATCCATCTAAACTTTCACATTTATAATATTAGTATGAAGTATGATTATACGGTAAGAAAATACGATATATTATTTAGTTATCCTTGTAGTATCCTCTTCTATCAAACATATTTTATTCCCTTAATAACATATACTTTCAATTAATATATGTAAATACGGACAACCGTTTCTTTTGTGATTGTACTTCAGTTTGTATGAAATCTCAGTATTTGACGGAACAGGCGTAAACTTTTTTTATGTCACAGGAATAAAAAAGTTTCAGAATAATCTACAGCTCAGCTTGAAAGACTCTCTCGGGGAAATATTGCTTTTGAAACTGATGGGCATAGGGTAGAAAAGTAAGCGGTGCTATTTGAATTGCTTACATCGAATATAAGATTCTTACAAGAGATAAGACAGACGGTTCATGATAAATGTAAAATGATTAAGGAAAAAAACATACAGACGAATTAAGTACCTCCTTCTTTTGGGAAGTCGGTCAAAAATTATATGTTACCTTTAAGATTTTTTTAAGGACGTAACTCGCTTCGTATTTATTATTTTAATGGTCACTAATCAAAAGAAACATTCTGTTTTCTAATTTGTAAATATATTTTTTTAACACTCTGTTTTTCTATTCCTAACAATAGTGATGTCTAGTATCATACAAGAAGATTTTTTTTTAAATTCTTGACTGTTAGAAATTTCAGCTGACTTCAATGTACTGTAACAATATTTATAAGTATTCTCGTCGAGTATTTTTGACATAAATGTTTTATGGTCATCGAGAACAGACTTTCATAATTTAACTTTTTGATTTGAAATTTTACAAATGAAGTTTCTTGCCAAATGATGTTATTTGTAATAATTTCACTTATGTTTTGAACTAATTTAAATAATTTTACGAGTAAATCTTTTGACTTTAAAAATGCTTATTAAT